AAAAAAAAAAAAAAAAAAAAAGAATGCTAAATCCTCTACTCCTGTAGTAGGAAGTTAACAGGCAATTTCTATAGTTGATGATCAAGAACCTCCTACATAAGCTTTACTTAGAAATACAAAGGTAGACAATAAAGAGTTAAAAGTGGCTGCCTTCAGAGACAGAAGTTATGGGTAGGAAGACAGGAGCAAGTAAATAGTATTCTTCATAATCTAAATGTTAACTTTGCTAAAGAAAGCCTTTCTAAATTAAAAGCAGGTATAATTATAGAAACTTGAAAAATTTTATTTTATGCCTGTTTTCCCATCTATATAATGAGAACAGTACCTCACAGGGCTGAGGTGAGGATAAGTAAAATATGTGTACAGCATGTCTAGCACATAGCTTGCCAAAGACTAACTGGTCTGTACCATTCCTCCCTCTCCACCCTCACAGAAAGAATTAAGATCTGTCTACACAGAGGACCTTGCTTTCTGCGACACGACATGTAACCACACATGGAAGTCCCGCATCACTGTAGAAGGAAGCACAAGCCTCTTCCTCCTTACTTGGCAGGAAATTTATAATAGCAGGTTTTAAACACAGCTATCTGGGTCAGCTGGCGGGTTCATGAGGACATGGGGTGGGTGTTTCCTGAAACACTCTTTCCTGGGATGCTGGCCCAGCCTACTTGCCTTCCTAGCCTTGGACCAGAGTCAGGCCTTGCCTCCACCCACAGTGCTTACTCACCCTAAAATTTGACACGTCAACTCCCACCCAGCTCTGGAACCCACATCTTCGATAGGGCCTCACCCAGCTCAGTCTAACTCTCTGGGATCAGGATGACCAGCCTCTTTTTTCTATATGCTCTGACTTCTGACTCCAAACACTTGCTTCTCAGTCTTGCCTAGTTCTAAGACCAGGGCCATAGAACTAAGACCTTTGGGTCTCAAGAAGTTCTTCACAGCTTCAAAGAAGAAAACAGGTACCTTCTACTCTCTCAGTAGGGAGGATAAACTGGGTTCTAAATTTTTAATTCTTACTTGTTCAGCCGAATGGCATATTCCTTCAGGGCAAACACGTTGTCAGCAAAGACAATAATCTTGTCATTCCTTCTTTCATGAAACTTGATCAGAAACTGGCAAGCCCTGAATTTGTTGGGATTCATGGTATACAGCAAGATTCGTTTCTTGGTTTTAATTGCCACATACTCCCGGTAAAACTCAGGGGACATTGGGCACCAAACCTGTGAAGCAATAAGAATCAGAGATCATTCTTAACATCATACCATTAAACATTCTTGAAGCCTTTTCATTTGGCAGAATTAAATCCCAGACAAAACCGACCATTGGTATGTGAATCATACCTCAACTGTAACTGTCAAATGGTAAATACACACACAAAACAAAACTAAACCCAACCTATACGTAATGTTGAACACTATATCACATTTATAATCACTTAAAGAGGCTCAGCGCCTGTGGCTCAAGCGGCTAAGGTGCCAGCCACACACACCTAAGGTGGCGGGTTCGAATCCCCAGCCCGGGCCCGCCAAACAACAATGATGGCTGCAACCAAAAAATGGCCAGGCGTTGTGGTGGGTGCCTGTGGTCCCAGCTACTTGGGAGGCTGAGGCAGGAGACTCGCTTGAGCCCAGGAGTTGGAGGTTGCTGTGAGTGTGATGCCATGGCACTCTACCCAGGGGGATAGCTTGAGGCTCCCTCTCAAAAAAAAAAATAAAATAAAAATAATCACTTAAAGATGTTTAGATGCCATCATAACCCAGGGAATTACTTTCACATCACCTGCAAGTAAGGGAAAGCAGATTCTCACCTAGAGTGTCAGTAATTCATTCCTCTATTCAGACCACACCTCCACACACAAGTCAGCACTGCTACTAAACCGTGCCCCTACACCCCCCCACACACACACATGCTCTCTCTCTCTCTCTCTCTTCCTGGTTAGGAGTGCTTTAGTTAGGCTTCTGGGGCCATCAGTGTGTAGACTTTCACCCAGGCAGCACTATGGTATGAGGAGCCTTCATTTCATCCTTTGCTCTGAACCCCAGCCCTCACCCACAAACACCTATGACCAGTAAGCTACAAGGACAGTATACAGAATTGCCTCAAAGTCAGGAGTATGACAGGGTAAGGAAATGGAAGACTACTGAACATTTATTCTAAATAATGAGAAACCACCACGGTATTTAAGACACTTAACAATCCAAGAAATTTCACAGACAAGCCATCTGATGACTGGGTGACATTCAACAAGTGACTAACCTCTCTGTGTCTCAGTCTCCTCCTCTATAGAACCACCATGCTGACAAGGGGAGAGGTGACAGGCAAAGCTCTTCCGGCACCCAGGGAGGCTTGCTGAAGGCCTGTCATTGTGTGGGCTCTGACAACTCACAGTCTGCTGCTCTGCTCACTGCTGCTTCCTACCACCACAGCAGCCCTAGCGACCAACATGGCACACTTTCTCAAGTCTTTCCTCAAAGGGACCTCAGGGGCCTTTCCTGACCACTCCATTTAAAATCCCAGTCCCAATTAGTCTGAAGATATACTTCAAACAACACAAACACACAAAGGTGATTCCCTGCAGCCATGTTTATAATGCACAACGTTGGACATCTAACTGGACCAACACGGGAAGAAGGTTGTGTAAACTATGGTCTGGCCACACACAAAGGCACATGCTGCAGTCATGAACGGAGGAAGACCTCTATGAGTGATTTGCAAGACTTACTGTTAAGTGAAAAAAGCAAAGTGCAAAAGAATGTCTACAGTATGCTACCTTTTATAAAGGAAAGAAGGGGAAATAAGAAAATGCACACTATCTGCTCATTTGTGCAAAAGAAATTCAGGAAGAATAAACAGAAATGACAAGTGTGGCTCGAGGGGGGATGGTGGGAGGATGGGGAAGAGTGATACTTCCCCAAGTGAACTTTTGTATGGTTCAGACTCTCAAAACACATCACAATGATGATAAATACCAGCAGACTTGAAGGTGATAGGCGAACCAAAATGGAATAAAAATAAAAACAAATGAACTAATAAAGTTTCAAAAAGAAATATCATAACCACAGAAGTGGGGATGGAAGAACCAAAGTAACTTTTAAACAGCTAAAATACAGTATTTGGACTTTATACTCTTAGACCACAGAAAAAAAGATTTGTAACCAGATAGTGAACTCTAGTTTTGTACTGATTAGCAATTCTGAAACTCTTTTATGTATATTCCAGGATTAAGTAGGTCACTAAGTCTCTATTGTGAAAAAAAGGACACCTAATTTCTCACTGAGAAAGGAATTACAAATATAGGAAGAGGAAAAGTTCCAGTGAAATCTATGACATTAGGTTGTATTGAATTGCCATAAATTCATGGTCTTAACATTATAGACAGATGAAAAATGTGTGTACATTTTGTGTACATGCATATGTGTACACCCCCTCTCCCAAAACTTTCTGACTGTGTCCTCACCTGAGTCAATACTGCAATGACATCCTAGTAGTCAGGAACACACCTAGCACCCAGATCCTGGTTTTTAAATTCCATTGTCTACTAAAAGGACCCAGGGCTCCTTGAGGAAAAGGCTGAGTCCAGGACCAGGGGAGGAAAGGTACCAGATGAGCCTGAAATAATCTTGCTCTGTCAGAAAGCAAGGATGAGTCAAATGGACACAGAAGCCACATGGAGGGGCATCTCACTGGTCAAAGCTGGGGCAATCTGAGCAGCCAGGTAAGAATGACAGTAATACTCCCAAGGGCCCCTACATGCTAGGGCTGTGCTTAGTGCTGCTCAGCTGAAGGAAGTGGCAGCAAATATCCTGAAGTACCACGAGCTTTTAAGGTCTCAACGCTGTGTACAGACAACAGGGATCCTCAGGGAGCTTTGGACGAGCACAGACCGCAAAGCCTGTGCTGACAGGCTATGAGTTTTTAGTCAGAGGCCTGACCAAAACGTCAGCGGGGGGCAGGAGTGAGGGGGGAACAGAGAGGGAAGACTGGCAAGAACATCTGTGTTCTGTGTCTCGAGGCCACCCCAACACCCAAGCATATAAACAGGAAAAATTAAGGAGAGAGGATGTGAGAGGAGAAAGTAGGCGAAGGAGTGAAGAAGAAAATACACATGAGGGCTCAGCGCCTATAGCTCAACCGGCTAAGGCGCCAGCCACGTACACCTAAGGTGGCGGGTTCGAATCCCCAGCCCGACCCGCCAAACAACCAATGACGGCTGCAACCAAAAAATAGCCGGGCGTTGTGGCGGGCGCCTGTGGTCCCAGCTACTTGGGAGGCGGAGGCAGGAGACTCGCTTGAGCCCAGGAGTTGGAGGTTGCTGTGAGCTGTAATGCCACGACACTCTACCCAGGGGGACAGCTTGAGGCTCTGTCTAAAAAAAAAAAAAAAAAAAAAAAAAGAAAATACACATGAGGAGGAACCAACACAAAAAATTCTGGCAACATGAAAAACCAGAACCGATCAACACCCCTAAGGGATCACAGGCAGCTGCCACTCAGGATCCCACCGATAAGGAAATTGTGGCAATGACAGAAAGGGAATTTTGAGTAGGGATGGCAAAAACAACTAAGGGAAATGAAAAACCACCAAAAGGAAATCTACAAATTCAACCAAGAAATGAATGAAAGACATGATGAAATTACAAAGGATATACCAGAGCTTAAACAACTGAAGGAAGGGCAGCGCCTGTGGCTTGAAGGAATAGGGCGCCAGCCCCATATACCAGAGGTGGCAGGTTCAAACCCAGCCCCGGCCAAAAAAAGAACTGAAGGAGTCATTTAGGGAGCTTAAAGATCCACTAGAAAGTATAACCACGGAGAATTCAAGGAGAGAAGCAAAGAGTCTCAGACCTGGATGATAAGCCTCTTGAGCTAAGGCAGTCATTTAAAGAGGCAGAAAAGACGACAGAGAAACCAGAGCAATCTCTTAGAGAACGATGGGACTTCATGAAACATACAAACATACGAATTACAGTATATTTCTTCCCTGAAGAGCAACCCAAAGGTATGGAAGCCCTACTGGAGGATATCATAACTGAAAATTTCCCAAGCATCTCCAAAGATTCTGAAACACTCCTTTTAGATGGATATTGAACCCCAGTTTGTCGCAATAAAAACAGAGCATCTCCTAGACATACTGTAATGTCAAAATGAAAGAGAAGATTCTGCACACGACCCCAAGTAAGCCCCAACTGACCTACAGGGGCAGATCCATCAGGGTGACAGCAGATTTCTCAGCTCAAACTTTACAAGCCAAAAGAGATTGTTTCTGACTTTCAATCTAAATAAAACAACTTCCAGCCTAGGATCCTGCATCCTGACCAACTAAGTTTCATATTTGATGGAGAAATCAAATCTTGTACTGACCTGTAATCACTGAGGAAATTTATCACTGTAAGACCAGCTCTGCAGGAAGTACTCAGACCTATACACAGAGACCATCATAACAGACTACCAGAAAGACACCAAGAAATTAAATGTCAAAGCTTAGATTCCACAATGGCCCCAGTGATAAAACTTCATGATAGCCTTCACAAAACAAGACAAACAACTCCACATTTACCAGTTCTTTCATAACTGTGAATGGTTACAATTCTCCACTGAAGAGGCACAGGCTGGCTGGCTGGATAAAAAAGCACAAACCAAACTATATGGTTTCTTCAGGAAACACATCTAACCTCCAAGGAAAACCAAGACTAAGGTAGCAGGGTTAGAAAACAATATTTCAAGCAAATAGAAATTAGAAGAAAGGAATTTTAGTTGCAGATACAAGTGGATTTAAAATAACAAAACTAAAGAAAAGGATGGAGAGTATACTCTGGTCTAGGGGACAATACAACAAGACATTTCAATTCTAAATATATATATATACATTTAACTTAAATGCTTCCTGACTTATGAAACAAACCCTAACTGGTCTCAACAATATGATATCCTACAACACCATTAATAGCTAGAGATTTCAACACTCCACAAATAGAACTGGACAGATCCTCTAAACAGAAACTAAACAAACAAACAAACAAAAAAAGGATTTAAACATGACCTTAGAAAAATTGGGGTTAACAGACATATACAGAATATATCACCCCAAAACTGAGTGTATGTTCTTTTTGTCAGCTCACAGATTATACTCCAAAACTGATCATATTCTAGGAAACAAATCAAACCTTAACAAAATTAAAATAATCGAAATTATACCTTATATCTTTTCAGACCACAAGGGA